AGCCGCAGAGCAGAGGAGATTGGCGTGGGAAGCATACGAGAGGGACGAGACGGAGCTGACAAACAGCCACCTTGCCAAATCCGGAAGCATAAAGGAGTCTGACCTCATTCGTGCCGTGTTTCGAGCATTTAGACATCGCAATATCGAATTTCTGGTTGCACCTTATGGGGCTCATGGGCAGGTCAGTAGGCATCCGATGGTGCAAGCCAAAACATCTCACTAATCCATTTGGGATCGTTGCATTCACCAGCTGGTATCTTTGGAGCGGCACTCAAAGTCATATGTCCATGCCATCTACGGACCCTCTTCTTTGCTACTGTTCGACCGAGTGGAGAGATTGGTGCTCTCGTTGGATCTGCAAGATCTACACAAAGGCACTGGGCCAGGTAGCTTCACATTTGTGTCCAAACCGGCTCTGTTGCAGTCGCTAGGATGCACTGAAGAGGAGTTCTTGGATTTGGGCCTTCTCTGCGGGTTCGAGCATTGCCCTACCTTCCCACCATTTCTGGATGGCACCTTTCCCGGTGTGGTTATCCCGGGCGAGAGCTCTGCTGCGACAGGTTCAATCCTGACTGGTGGTTCCGGGCCTACACCAAATATTCGAGCCGCACTTGAGGTGTTGAAGTCGTATCGCAGCGGGTACACTCTGTGCACATCGTTCGAGCAACATCCGGCATGTCAGAAGATCGGGTACACTGACCTCTTCTGCAAGGCTAGATGCATGATTAAATTCGCGCTGGTGGTTTCGGCCGAAGAAGGCAGAGTGCTACCCCTGCCTTTGGCTACGCCGCCTCCGCCTATTCCAGCAGCTGGCGGACAGCCTGGTGCTCCTCCCTCGCAAGGGGGGGCGGTCGTCGCCCCTGGCATCAATGGGGCAAGCCCAGCTGTGCCATCGTTCGCTCCCAGTGGAGTGCTCGCACCGATACTGACAGCGGCAGACGTTCCTTCAGATTTACACGAAATCTTTTGCCATCGTTTACCCGACGAAGTGTTCCTTCATCTATCACGAGGGCTCATCGGACCCAACATCGTATCCGCACTCGCATCTCAGCATATCCACGAGCCGGCCCCTCTTTCCCCCGACACCACCGACGAGTATCGGCGATTTTGCAGAGAGCAATTGACAGAATTGCCGCAAAGTCCGCGATGCGTTTCTATGGCACTGATGGCCAACGCTCTGCACCAATTTTGGACGTCGCGTAAAGTTGTGGCGACGTATTGGTGGGACACAGCGCGGGAGCATCCCGTTCCGTATGACAGCATCCCTACCCTCAAAGTGGCACAGCGCGTCAACAATTGGAATGTCGGCGTTGCTTTTATTGAGGACGAGCTTCGGAGGCAGAACAGCAGCACGATCGACATCGCTCTTTGCCTTGGCAGCACTCGGTCAGCCAGTCTGGCCGCCCGCACAAAGACTGCCCGCCCGAAGCCAGCTCCTCCTGGAGCGACGAATGGCAACGGCGCGTCAAATGCACTCGCCGCACTGCCAGTCTTGGAGAAAAAGGATGAAGTGGTGGCGAACGTCATTTGGCGTTTCTTGGAGATCCGCGGATTCCTCAACCATGATCATCTACACACTGGCTTTGCCCGGGCTCTCCATCTAGGTCTGGAGGGCGCTAGGCTTAACGACAAGCTGCAGGAACCCTTGTACATTGCTCTGGAACTCATGCGCGCGGGCGCGCTGCACGGCAACGCTTTCAGCGGGCGACTGCTGTCCGGCGGTCCCGCCTGGGGAGATACTTCTGCCGAAGGACAGGAAGGACAGGATGCACGGGATGCGCGCAAACACCTTTTGCTGATCATGCGGTGTCTCAGTCTTCTGCCCATGAGCTTTAGACCTTCCGCTTGGTCAGCGCCGCTCTCTCGAGAGTTGCTGCTCTTTGCCAGCTTCACAAAGAGCATGTCCAGAAGCTTGCGCTCCCTGATCGAGTGCATCGCCTCCAATCTCTTGCTTCGGGGAGATGCTCGTCGAGCTAGGGACGACTACCTCGATATTTCCCTCTCGTTGCCTTTCCAGTCAGATGCCAACACCGGCATGGGAATTCTGGTCAAATGCTATCTCGAAGCACTTCTCACGTTCAACAATGGCCCGGTACTTCCGGGCAAGGAGAGTGACGAAGATGTCAAGGAGGCTGTTGAGCAGGTGTTGGGCATCATCGAAGGGCCGTTCGAGAATGTCAAGGACATCAGGAACGAGCTCAGAAGGGGTTTCAGGTTTTGGGACGCGGTGAGTAGTCCATGAGAGGGAGCACGTGACCTTGCAGTAAGGACGATCACCTCCGACGGCTTGCGAATTGTACACAGACTAATCACCTCACTCATCCAACGTTTCGCAGCTCATCAAGACGACGCAGACACTCAAGACGGAAGATTTGAT